GGACTGATTTAAACAGAACACATTTCAACACATGAACATCTTGCATACATCATGACAAAAGCCTTGGGAAGGCAGCAACACAATTATTTGTTATCCAAGTTGGGAATTGAAAATGTCTTTTAAAACCCAACTTGAGGGGGAGTGTTAAATTTACAGTTAGTTTTTCGTTAATATGTTGTTAGGAGCATTTTGAATTAGTTAGTTTGATAGAAATGGTACTTGTATATAATATGGATGAATTGTAAGTTTATGGATATATGTGAATATGAGAAGTAATTTTTTTACATTCTATTTCTTTGTACTTTAAAATATACGAATAGCCAACGTTAAATGTAACTCTTGTAATGGCCTAATGAGAATCTTAATAAAGATGGGAGTAGTTGATTACACGTTGCCACAAAAAAAAAAAGTTTGAGTGGAGCGGGCACTGTATTGGGTCGTTGTCGGCAGAGTTTCAGAAATAAGGGGATGAAGTGGCTAAATGGCAAGCTTCGGTCGGTTTTACAGAGTTGTTGAGATGATGAAAAAATTGTCTCTTATTATAGTGCTACCTCCATTATACCATTAGTGCCTGGGTCTCTAATTCCATCTCATGCTCAAGTTTCAGTTATAAATACCCCGCTTCGGGATCGGTAATCTGCATTCAGGCTCAGCTGAGTGTTCTTGGATTTGTTCAGATAAGAGAAAAATGGCAGCTGCATTGAAACTTATGTGTGTTATGGGATTGATTGTGCTCATCAGCATTTTGGCGATAGGAAATGTTGCTGCAGCAGGGGAATGTGGCAAATCGTCTCCTGATAATGAGGCACTGAAGCTAGCCCCATGTGCCGAAGCCGCACTAGACGCGAAAGCTCCTGTTTCAGCCGCTTGCTGCGCCAAGGTGAAGAACATGGGTCGAAATCCGAGCTGTCTCTGCGCCATTTTACTATCCAACGCCGCTAAAGCTTCCGGAATCAAGCTCGAGAACGCCATAACCATCCCTAAACGCTGCAACATCGCCAACCGTCCCGTCGGTTACAAATGCGGACGTGAGTCATGATTTTCCTTTGTTCCATTTTTTTTTACACTTCCATTTCCGAGTTCTTACAGCACAAACCGTTTGTTTTGCAGCTTATACGCTACCTTGAAGTGGAGATTTGGGGACCGGAAAATTGATGCTGGAGCTGACTTGTACTACTGAATACGTAGCTTAAGCTCACCTTTGTATGAATAAAAAGCTTAAAGCCATGTTCATATTATTATATCCAATCATGAATAAAATAGTTCATCGTCCATGTTTATGCTTTTTATTATCGTCACCTTTTGAATCACATGCACGGAAACAACACCATTGATAATGTCACATGAAAATCCTAGTCAACTTTGATAAAAATTAGTAAAAAAAAATGGGAAGCGTAAAAACTCTAAAATTACCATATATTTTAGATTTTTTCTATTAAAAATTTATTTTCGTTCATTGAAATTTTATAAATTCAAATTTGTCCCCTTACTTAAAATCCTGCTTTCGTCCCTAATCGGTAGTCTTTGCCCCCGATGAGTTTTAGAGTATGTTATCTTTGGAACTACCATTAACCGAATTAACCGAATTTTTTTTTCTTTAACTGTTAACCGAACCGAACTTTTTTTTCGAAAATATTAACCGAACCGAATAAATTTCGGTTAATTTTTGAATTAACCGAAATTTTTTAGAATTTTCGAATTTAATACTTTTTTAATTTTCGAACATATAATTAATTAAATTTCATATCGAACATATGAACACAAACCCAATCAGCTACCTTTTAGGTTCAAATCGAAAATGCCAATGGAAACTAATCTAAAGAAAATCAAAATAACTTAATCCCATCATTCGTTTGCCTTGCCCTCGTTCCAAGCAAACATGAACCCAGAAAACAAAGGCGGGTGATTCAGAACAAACAAAGATCCACATCTAATTGCCACAATGAAAACAGAGTTATCTTAGGGAACACGAAAGAACATTCAAAACCAACCATTCATGAAAACACACTAGAAGGAAAACCACCCAAATTGCATGAAAAAAATAAAGACCCAATAGTTTATTCATCTTGAAAGACAACACAAAAGAAATTATTAACCCAAAAATCTTACCTCTCAATAGCCAGATTATTTCAAGCAAAGAACTCTTATTCTTTTCTTAAAAACGTGAGAGGTTGTTTGCTTCAACTAGAAAGATAGAAAGAAGACAATAAATAACAAGGCACATTGCTTCCTGTTTATTACTTTTTGTATTTGTTAGCTATAAACTTGTGAAACCACGCACTGCAAGTTCCTATGCTGTTAAACGCGTGCTCCACCTACCCATGCTCGAGTCAGAAAATCCAGAATGCTCGTGCTCCACATTCAAGAAATGGTTATAAGTTACACAAATCAAGGCATAAAATAATTGATAACCGAGTAGTAGGAAGTGGGGGCAGCATGGGGTGAAAAAAATAATAAAAAATATTCAAGGATTAATTCGGTTAATTAACCGATTTCGAACCGAATTAATTGTTAACTGAATATCCAAAAAATCATTAACCGTTAACCGACCGAATTAACCGAACTAATTCGGTTCGATCAATTAACCGAATTAATTCGAAAATTTCAACACCCCTATTTGGAACTACCACTTTCGGTTGTCTTCCATAAAAATATAATTTCATCTGATTTTTTGTACCAAACATTGGAATATACCAATCGGATACGGTGTCGTGTTTTCTGCTTTAGCATTCTCCTATAACCTTTAACACGCGAAGCATGTAAGATCATATTTGGTTTGGGGTTTTACTATGGAAAAGTTTATATTATTAGTTTTAGGATAAACATCGTATTTGTATATTTTTTCTCATAAATTCAAAAAATTTACATTTTGGTCACTTATGCTATCGATTGTTACATTTTTAGTCATTGAGCCTTTAGTTTATATTAATTTGATGACATAACACATGATTCAAAGGGGTTAATTTTTAATTTAATCCTTAAACTTTAGATAAAATATTAATATGACTATGTACTTTAGATAAAATATCATTTTAACCTTTAAATTTTAAATAAAATATCGATTTGACCCATTAATTCGACCACCATCGTCGATCATCGTCAGTCAGCATTTACCGTGTAACATCCCAAAAATCTTGAGTCAACATTTGGGGCGTTGACCCGAGTTAATAATACTGGGTCTAGTGTTATTGGGCTTGTAGAGTAATGTTACCCTTTGATGGTAAAGATTTGGGCCCAATTGGTTAGCCTAGGGGGTGATTTGGAGTAAAAGAGAAATGTGTGGGGACAAAAGTGCAATTACTCCTTTGAGAAAAATAGTTCGATTTTTGGACTTGGTATTTGGTTCTAGCCGTGGGGTTTGTAGAGTAAAAAGGGTAGAGCGACTTCATCCTTGTCTCCATCAGTTATCTTTCTCTTTCTTCTTCCCTTCTTTTCTTCCTCCTCAGTCTTTGTGTTGTTGAAGCAAGTTCTTAAGATAAAAAATAACCTCGCCCCTAAATTTGAATTGAATATGGTCCAATTCAATAAAAGTGCCCCTAAATTCTGAAGATTTACAAATTAATCCTTTAATATATCTTGAAAATATTGGAATAATTTCGAAAAATCACTTGTAAATTTTAAATTATTATAAATCGTTCTCTAGAATATTGATAGTATTTTTTCTAAAATATTTATTAGGTTTTCTTAATGATTTCACATAAATCCCCAGTTAATTGAAATTTTAGTTACGATTTTAACCGTGCATGCATTTGATTTGTATACATGGAATAATAATAAGAATAAGAATAAGAATCATTATAGAGTAATATCCATAATGAATTTTAGGAGGCTTAACCTGGTAATCTTGACCAATCATTTCATATTGGTTAGTTGTATTGAACAGGACTGAAGCTATTGGGTCTTACTGTCAGTGAAGTAGTCACTTATTATCAGGGATTCAAATAACGGTTGTATTTACGTTTTCGATCACTTTGTGTTTATCGCGATTAACGACATAGCGGACGCTATTACGAGGATTGCGGGTATCGGCGTATCGTGGACATATAATAACGGTCACAGAGGACACCACTACCATTATATTGCGGGATTGCGAGATTACTAAGATTGCGGGTATCGGCGCTTTGCGAGGATTGTTAGTAGAAATAGTAGGACGAAGTGGCTAAATCGCAAGCTTTTGACGGTTTTACAGAGTCGTTGTGATGATTACAAATGGTAGAATACTTTGATGTATGATGGGACTAAAACAAGAAGCAGATAATTAATTCTTAAATCAAAGTGCTACAATTATAAAATTCTCTCTTCTTATAGTGCCACCTCCATTATACCATTAGTGGCTCGGTGCTCAAGTTTCAGTATAAATACCCTGCATTCAGATTCCAAGGTCAGGTTCAGCTGAGAGTTCTAGGATTTGTTCAGATAAAAGAAAAAATGGCAGCTGCATTGAAACTTATGTGTGTTATGGGGTTGATTGTGCTTGTTAGAAAAAATGGCAGCTTATACACTTCCTTGAAGTGGAAATTTGGGAACTGGAAAACTGTTGTAAAAGTGCTGGAGCTCACTTATACTACTGAATATGTAGCTTAAGCTTACCTTTGTATGAATAAAAAGCTTAAAGCCATATTATTATATCCAATCTTGAATAATAATTTTCAAGATAATTGTGGTCTGTGGGGCGCAGCAATTGAAGGTTGTCTTTAACTTTTTATGGTGTGTGTCATCTTTAGAGACAATTTGTGAGTGCTCATGAAGTGGAAAGGTGGGGCTTTTAGTGTTTCAGGTAACCTCAAAGAGAGTTTTAAAGGGAAAAAATGTTCTGTCAAATTCATCCTTTTGACTTGTTTAAAGCAAAAACTACAACTGGGTTTAATTCATGTCCTTTGGATTGTAAATGAAGGATCTAAAGAAGATAAGAAAATTATGATAAGACTTGGATAACAAGTATTATTCCTATCCAAAACAAAAGGCAAAAGCAGAAAAAGAATCCATCCATGGATACTAGATTACTCAAGCAAAAGCAGAAATTTCATCATCTATGATATTACATCAAGTCACTTGAGCACATATCCTTCACAGAACCAAAAAGAAGAGCAAGTTCCATTATCCTTTACAGTAAACAACGGTGACCTATATAACTAAATTTATTTGTTTGGCTCGAGAAAGTAATACCGGTAAGCTGGCTGCGAGGTTTTGATTGCTAAAGTCCATCTACCACATGTATAACCAGAGATTGATTAAACCGCTATCTGTATGTTCCTAATTCCTATGAACTTGCTAAGGATAAATTCAACAAACAGAGATGCAATACTATCATAAAAAGGATAAAGGGAATATGGTGAAGTCATTTAAAGTCTTTTTCATATTATTTGATCGATCAAACTTTATTAAAAACAGTATTATTCTTGATATGAATTATGATCGCATGATATGATCGGTATAAAACTCATGTGACTATGGATATCTGACTAATGGTACCTTGATATGAGTATGTTGAGAGGAAAACGAGCTCTTAGTAATATGGAGACCCTGCAGAAAGAAAATATAGCAAAATAAAAACAAAGATGTCAACCTTAGAGTTAAAAGATTCTCCACTATGCTCAGTATATCCCATCAGATAATTTCATACCTTCCCACCAGTTTCCTCTTGTTGCACTCCCCGAATCATCTTCTCCACCATCTTTCTTGTACTATAATGATATGAAAACATGTTAGTAGATTCCTAAATCGAAAGACTCGTCAAACTAAAGAATGTTTTCGATATGTGATGCCCATAGGATAAGTTGTGCACGCACCACAGGGTTCAATCCAGATCCCTGGCTCTGGGGACTAGGGATACATCTTGTCCGCCATAGTAGATCGACGAACTTAAAGGACACGGCTGCACTCTCTGCTCCTGATATATGTAACTCTCGTCTCGTACATTCCGATTTTCACCTTCATGTCCTTTGGAAGAATCACCTGATGATTTACAGTGAACTGAGAATTCAAGAACTACTTGGTGTTTTAGAATCATTAGGGATAAAAGAACTAATTTGTAAAAGCCAAGAACTATAAAAAAAAGTGGTCTTGTTTGGGTATAATGTTCAACAAAAAACGAACCAACGTATGATATAACAAAAGTGCGCCAATTCATTTCCCAGTCATGTAAAAGCTAAGACTGATGCACAAACCAGAGGGTCCAGGATTTGTGTTCCATGGCTGACCTCTGGCCCCAGCAGGATGTAAAGAATCCCTTCCAAGTACCTAAATCAACACTAGCTTGGAGAAATTAAAATTTGCTAAACAAAATCTAAAAAGACTAAGACAATAGAGACGCACAAAGAGATTAATGGTCTCAATAGAGAGCTTGCATGCATTTGAGAAAGAAGAAACCATGGAAAAAGAAACAAGAAAAGAGTATCAAAGTAACATCAAACAAATAAAACCAAACAACTTTAGAACAATAGTTTCTTGAACCGTCTCAAATTGCCCAATTGAAAAAAAAAAAGATCCAATCTTTGAAAATAAACAATAAAAAACTCAAAACCCCATTATCAAGAACATGGAATACCTATGAAATACCTTAGAGGGAGGAGTAAATATAGAGCCGAAAATCCCAGTGGAAGGTGACGGAGAATCTTTTGAACCAAAGAGCTCTGAAGTAAAGGAAGAAGATGACGACCCCACTTTTTTCTTTCCCTCCATTCTTTTGTTCTCAACAAATTGCACCTACTGATTCTAATCAAATCTTTTAAGCCTATGAATAATCCTTGTTTAGCATCCAACAAAATGAGACACGTATATAGAGAGAGATACATTTGCAAGAAACAAAGCACCGTCAAGATAAAAAAGGAAAGAAACAAAAAGGAAAAGAGAAAAGATGGAACTTGGAAAGAAAGGAAAGGCGTAAAGAATGGGGAAAAGAAAGGAAAGACACGTGAAGATGGAGCCTCTTGTTTTAAGAAAGAGAGAAATCACAGATAAAAACAACTCATTTTTGGGTCATGAATTTATAAGGCAGTTGTCGCCGACGGCGATCATTTGGTGCTTTGAATTTGTTGAGAAATAACATAGATTTCATTGCCATAAGTCGACTCAGTGGATAATAACAATTCCCTGAAGGTTCTGCTTGCACTGACAGTGTGTTCCATCTGGATTTTAGATCAACATTCTCACTATTGAACTCGATTTGACTCACTTGACCTGACTTGAGCTGATCAGTGAGTCAGTGAGCACCCCACTCTATGAGCTTTCCCTTTGTCGTGGGTCTTCTGCATTCCACTTCCATTTTCTGTCATTGCTTTATTTGTAGTTAATGGATAGGGAGAAGCGGAGAACTACACTTGCACTTTAAGTTAATCTTGGTAACAAAAATATTTGAATATATTATATAAGATTCTTTTTTTGGCACAGTTTATTGTAAAACACAGCTATTTTCTGCAATAAAAATAATTTGAATATATTATCTAAGATTTTGGTTATAATATCTAAACATTTATAAAAAGTATTGTTGTAATTGACTTTAATCATACTTTAATATATTGCTCTTAATTATAATTTTTAATTATTTTGATAATTTGGTTAATATATATAATGGAGATGTTAAATGACATAATCTTTGTTTTACATGTTGAATCCAAACTATTCGTGTAACATATGTGATCATGTTTGAAATTTGATCCAAGTATTTTAAATTCTCTCCTTGTTAAGTCCAAGCTAATGTTTGATGCTCTAGTAGATTGCTAGATTGACGAAAGGACAAGATTGAAACCATATCCGACAATTTGAGACTTAATGAAAATATCTTGAAATCTATATACCAATACAAAATCTAAAAATAATATGGGGATATTGGGCGCAATTAACTCTTTAAACTGATTTAATCCCTAAATCTGGTCCAAAACAAAAAATATCCCTAAGTCTTAAATCCTAAACCAGGCTAAAGCATAAAACCCAATACTTTTGGTAAGTTGAAATGGCTCAGATTAGATGTGAGAAGTAGCATATTTGATATTAATAACTACACTATAGTACAACCGAGCAACCTGCTAAATGCCAGAAGGCAATAGACAAGATCCAATGAAGAGGTAAAAGATATTGAAAACAAATCCTCCAGAAAAAACCTACCATACTCTGGCTTATCAATGTGTGGTTTTTTCTTCATTGAGCTCATGAATGCTTTGAATATCAGCAACCTGGGGCCATCAATCTTTGTACCATCTAATCTAATTGGCTTAATTATAAAATAAGTTCTTAAACTATTTATTTTTTCTAAATAGGTGTCCGAGCTTTTTTTTAATCATTTAAGTGTCTAACGTTACAAACGTTATTACTTTAGGTGCCCGTGTAACGTCCCAAATTCTGGGCTAGTAGTTTTGGGTTTACCGTAGAGGTAAGTGGACCCCGTAGAATTTATAATTCAAGTTTTTGGGCTTAATTGGGTTGGTCTTAGGCCTAATTAGACATAAAAATGAGATTTTTATATAGTAAGAAGATGAGGAGGGACCAACAGTGTAATTACCCCGTTTTTGAGGATGAGAGCTTTTATATCTCTTATGCAATTTTCTTCCTCTCATTTTCCACTTTCTTTTTTCTTCCTCATCAAGCTTCTTAATCCAAAGGTGAACCCTTGAACCATTTCTTACCCTTTTAAAACTTCAATTTCGTTTATAATTTCCCCCCAACAACATCATTTTAAGGAATCAAGGCTTTGGGTTCTTTGGTTGAAAGAAAAAATGATAGGTTTTCATCCAAGCTATGGTGGAGGATGATTACTAGATAAAGGAACTCCATTTCGAGATTCAAACACTAAGGTAGTGTATTTCTAATCTTTTGGAGTATTAAGCTTCCAGAAATTTCAAGAATTTGCTAAGATTTGTGTAGTTGAGCATATTAGGAGTATCGATATTAGGCCCCATTTTCGCAGTAGAATGCATTTTTGGTACTGATAATCATAGGAGTATTGATACTTGACCCTAGGGTATTGATACTACATCTAGAGTATCGAAACTACCCATTTTGTATGGTTAGATTCGGCTCGATTAAGTTTCGTAAGAGCTAGGGATAGTCCGTAAGGATAAAACTTAGTCCGTGAAGGACATAAATGGCCAAAGGGGCCCAGTGACACTCGTAGGAGTGGGTTACAACCAGTGTAACCATAGCAGGCATAATACGTCCAAGAATCTTCAGTGAACATGTAACATATATTTATGAATGAAAGATCAATGCACAAGGTATACCGACGAGAGGTATGACCAATCAATCAGATTATGAGACAGTAGTGTCATAAACCGTAAGAACGATCGAGAGTGTTGGACATACAACTACTCATTCAGTTCGAGGAAGAATTGAGGGAAAACATAGTAATATCGAATAGAGTATCGCTACCTAGAAATGAACCCGAGTTAGATATCAGGCCAACCAGAACCTCAGCCAGTAAACACATTAATCGTCATGGAGTCTCGAAACGTGTTGAGATTTCTCCAAAGTCTACAAATGACTAAAATACCCTTAAGTAGCGTATAACTAGACCAGTACAAATTATTAGTAGTAACAGATTAATTAACTCTCGCATAACGTTCTAGTCGAGAGAACGAGCGAGATAACAGCTAGAAGCAGAAACAGTAACAGTTAAAAGCAGTAACAATTAGGATGTCATAAAACTAGCCTTTGTGTGACACTCGGGAAACAGATAGGACATCCGAGTTACTTTAGTAGTAGGGCGATTATCTTGTTTGTCAGTATGTTCAGGTATATATCAGTCAGTACCAAGACACTTCTTTCTCTAGTTGGGTGTAGATACCCAAGACTCGAAGGAGTAAGTTGGTCGGGTGTACATTTCTGATGCAATTTCGAATCTCACCCTAGTGTACCCGAGTGTATACAGGCAGGCTAGAGGGGTGCGTGAGCTCCGATATGCAGTCTCTCAGTTGCACCATGATGCATGCCACAACTTTATGTTGTTGTTGTGTATCAGATATTATTATCTGGTAGGATAGAGTGGTGTGTGAGCTTTGACACCACTGCCAACACCGTCCTTGCCATCTCCCTAGTCGGACGATGTTGTCCTCGCTATTGAGATGATCGTCGAGGCATCGTGGAGTCACAATGGACATTCACGATTTAGGCCCCTTGGAGTCACGATTTAGTCGAGATAGTCGTCATTGCTGTCGAGTAATTAGTCGTCGGTGGAGACGCGACTAGGTGGAGGTTCGAACGACGGCAATGGTGACGGCCAGCGTGAGTATAAGGATTAGATTTAGGTTTTTCAAAGTTTGGGGGAGGTTTTTTAAATTTTCAAAAATGTTGGGCTTTTTATGTATAATTTTAAGTTTTTTATTTTAAATAAAAATTTTGAAATTACCAGATTGTGACACATGTCACTTAACGGAATTTTTAACGGTTATTACGGCCTAGTCATCTAAAATGGTAACATTTGTGACGTTAAACACTTAGATGATTCAAAAAAAAAAGATATAATTTAGACATTTATCTAATTCAACACTCTGATTGGAGGACAACCTAAATTTCGTTATTCTATGTTATTAAGCTCACAATAGACTTAAACATAATTTTCTTTTAAACAAAACTAAGTTTTCATTAAATAAGAAAGAGGATATATAAAATATAATACAATCTCAATATAAAAATTCAAAGAATATAAAAAAAAAATAAAACTAAAAATCTTTCCTGAAATGCACGTTTCATCTTTTATGACTAAAACGCAATTAACATCATACCATAATGCATTCAAAATATATGTTTCTGTTAACTATAACGTTTAAAAATATGTTCCAAGCCTATACTTTTCCGTAAATTTTGAGTTTTAAGGTATGCTTATTTTATATGATTCATTTACATTTCGCGATTAAGTACGTCAACTAAATTCATTAATCTAATTTATTTTTCTATTATTTACGGATATTTCATAAACTGTTTTCACTTCAAAATAAGCACAAAAAAATACACTCATTGGTCACTCCAATGAAAACGTACATTTTAAAATAATCGAGTAACTAAAACGTACAATTTTAACGATCGGTGATCAAAATGAAACCAAAACACAAAGTATGACATTGGAAACAAAAATGGTTGGTGAATAAATACTTAGTTTACTCTTAAAAAATATGCTTAATATAAAAATAAATATCTAAACTATACTAAAAGTTAACTTTTGTTGCTTAAAGAATTTTTCGTTAAAGATAAGTTCTAATATTTTTTTTTGTTATACTTTAGGGTGCATACGTTAAAATAATCATTAAGTGACATGTGTTAAATTTAGATTTTTTTAAATATATTTTTAAATAATATTTTGTTTTTAAAAAAGTATTCAAAAATATATAAACATAACACGTGTCGCTTAATGATTTTTGTAATGATAGGTACCTAAAAGTGTAATGAAGAAAATGTTAAACACTTATTTTTAATAAAAAAAAAATTAGACATCAAAAATTAACTTTGATTATAACTTACACAATTATTTTTATATTAAATTTAAAAATATTATAAATGTACCAAGAAAAAATTTATAACTAATCAAGATGATATTTTATTTGTTATCATACTGATCTTCCATGTTTTGGACCTTACGATTGGATTTGGATACCCGATTTGTGTTCGTTGATAGTATTTTCACGTCGCTCAACTATGATTTTTCTCTTGTTTAGAAAAATATATTTATTATGTGTTTAGTTTACGATTGTTGTCGTAAACCTTCATTGTAATTTGGATATTTTTTTATTTTTAATAAAATTAGTGGCTTCTATAAAAAAATATTTATATTAAGCTCTATATAATATTAGTAGATTTTACCAATAGTTAAAAAACTTAAGATAAAATTTTCGGTGAACTTAAAGAGTAGAATCTCTTTTAACAGCACGAGTCGAGCAAAATTTTAACGATCTTAACGAGCAACGAGTCGAGTCGAGCAACAAAAGTTTTTGACGAACACCAATCGAACATTGTCTAACTCACGACCAACTCGCTCGATAAACACCTATAAATATAAAAGAATATCATAATTTGAGATATAATTATCTTAAAACTTTTAGGAATATAGTTATCATGTTATAGGATCGATTTAAAACTTGTAGTATGGGTTAAAAACTTAAAATATGTTTGGGGTGTTTTTAGATGATGTGATTAGGGTATCTATTTTCGGATATGGATATTATCCAATTAAAAAATTCGGATCACTTAAAATTACGATTCCTATTTGACTCAAAATATCAAATATCAGAATTTTCAGATCATATATTTGAATATTCGAGTCAGAATATAAATTTTAATTTAATAAAAAATTTAAATTTAAATGTAATATTTTATAATTTATACAATATATTATATACCTTGACTATATATTTATTTATTTATCAAAATATACTTGAATAATTCTATAACAAATACTTAGAAGGCCTGAAAAATAAATAATTTCAAATGATTTAAAAATGAAAAAAAAATTCAAAGCTGTTTATCTTGGGGCTTTGGGGGTCTGGGGCTGGGGCGTTGGGGCGATGCGGTGCTGGGGCTGAGGCGTTGCTGCGATATAGGGCCAAATTTTTGGATTGATTCAATGGATCAATAGATCGGATTTTATGCACCGTATATGTAATATGTGTTCAGAAATATTTATTATTTTGGTGTTGTCTTCGGGCATTGCGAGACTATATTGGTATAAATTAAACCGATATATAATTTATGAAAGTGTCAAGTATGAATGTGCAAATCAACTAATGTGATTATGTTTACATGTTTTTATTTATATTTATAATCTTTATTAAGACTATTTATTTACCTGATTACCTCATTGAGCTTTGTGAAACTCGCTCTGTGTGTCTATTGCTTTTGCATGAGCTCGGTCGGTTAGACTCGTTTCAAATTGCATTGTAGAGGCAGATGTAATATTTTATTTTAGGAGCGAACCTATAAATTTTTAAGAGGAGATGAAGAATTTATAAAATTGATAAACATATTTCAATAGAAAACACATAAAAAATCTATAATATACGACAATTTTAAATTTTATGAGCAAGCTCATCTTCGGTTGCCTTAATTTTATGAGCAAGCTTCACTTCAACCAGTTGAGCTAATAGTTTCTCATGACCTTCATTCAATTCAACAAGCCTTTCTTCTAGACCTTTCACATTGTTTTCACAAACAGTAAGTGTCGTTGAAACGTCGTCGTTTTCTGGTATATCGAACATTATGATTTATGGGGAAAAGGAAAGAAGAATTTACTGAAAACTTTCATGTTTAGGCTATGATAGATTCTAAAAACACGATATATTTCACGAGAAGAAAGATGAAAACAAAAAAGGTTTACAGTATATATATATATATATATATATATAGTGAGGTCTCATTTCTCATGAGCGACAGGCTTTCAAAATGTCCTCAATCTCTGGATCATCCCCTGCTTCTTTATCCTGCCAAGTTAAAAGGATTTCAAGCCAATGTTAGAGACAAAATGAATCTGAATCAATGACAAGTTAATACTGGTCTCAGATGAAATACTTGGTAAAATACTCATTCTAATTATGCCCAGTAGATCTTGTGCAGTTTGGATTTTTGTAATCTTTTCAGGTAACGTACCTTGTGAACGTATAAAATGTTCTTTTTGCCAGGACCTGCTACTAAAATTCCACCTTGACGCCTGCGGTGAAAAAAATAATAATGTGTACAAGTTAACACTTAAAATAGTCTTTGTGCAACACTGGATAAATTAAATTAAGGCAGAAAATCATTGTTATCATACAAGATTTAATCTTGCGTATAAATTGAAGAAGTGACAACTGACAAGATCCTAGTAACTTGTAAATTTTAAGTTCATATCAAAGGTAACAATTTTCGCAGAATGTACATATCTTATGCAAGACTAGCTTGTGAATCTCATCAGTGTTAATCATATCGTGATGAAACAGTCGACATACCAGCCGCCTCTCTTGACAGTGTCTTCCTCAAATGAAAGCTTCCAGTCTTGTCGGTAGCCTTCCATGTACAACTGTATTATCTTAAGACCTGCCTGCAAGTTAAGAAAATACCTCAATGAGTACGATTGGTAGAATCACAGAAATCAAATATCATTTCTAACAAACCAAAGCCATCAATTGTACAATGCTTTCTTTCTTTTTTTCTTTTTACATACTTTGGGGGTAAATGTGGTTGCAAACCCAGAAACAAATCTTAATGCATCGTATGACGAGTGGCTCGGATCTGCATAAACTTCTGAACCAAAACCAGGATAAAAACAACATTTTATTGTCAATATAATAAGATACCAAACAATATGCAGGAGCAGCAGGAGTGGATTTTTCCTACCTCCTTTGAATTTAGTTTGTACTGCAAATGTTTTTGCCTGCGTCAGATAATAGCATTAGTCATCACAACGGTCCAGCCTAGTTCATATTTTCATGCATGATTGTAAAATTTCATGGAAATTTCTTCTACAACATGAGGAAAATAATACATAAGCCACCAAATTAAAACAAGCTACAAATGTAATCTCGTGCACTTGCCTGTTCAATGCTTCCAGGTCCAATTAAAACAAGTGCAGCACCTGCTTTGTCCATTACATCCTGCCATGGTACACAGCAAAAGTCAGAGTCGGATGGGTTTTCAAGTTTGGGTTTATTAGTTTGCAGTAGCTTACCTTCTTGAATGCAAGATAATCAGCCCGTTTGCGGCAAAAAACACATCTAAAAGCAATGAAAGACTAAGAACTATTAGGAATCTTAAGTTAAAGCTTCAAATTAACACACCACGACAAAAGATCAAACACTTTGAACGCGTCCAACAAATTAATAATCACCCAAAATGGCGGGCAAATGCTACAACAGCTTTCCTGTCTTTCCATAAATCAGAAATAGGAATTTCATTTCCATTCAGATCAAATACTTTGACCGTATCCAACAAATCAACAGTATCTTCACTCACTGCGGAAGATTCGAGTCCTGTTAACAAAAAAACCGAGCGATTTCAAGTTCAACCCTTTGATCAGCTTCAAATTAAAGCACAAAATTTGGAGCAACTAATACTTTCCGGTAGAGCCAGAGACCGCGGAGACCACCGGCGGATTCCGTGGAGTGGAGATTTTATTATCGTTTATACGGTGTTTGAGACCGAATGTCGATGGTTGGTTGAGAAATAGGCGGGCCAAAAGGTTATTGTGGTTCCCGTTGGATTGGAAAGTGTTTGGCAAAAGACTTGTGGAGAGAGAAAGCGCCATGTTTTTGTGGATTGCGATTTCTAATTCGTTACAGAGGAAGAAAGAAAGAAAGAAAGTTGCGGTAGTGTGAACCGTTGGTTGTTTTATGGCAGCCGTTCTAACACGTGGTAAGAGATTAGCGATTATAATTAAACCATGTGCACCATTACGATGATTTTTATTGGATAAATTATATGTTTAGTATCTAAATTATTATTTTTCTTTTATTTTAATATCTAAGTTTTATATTTTTTTCAAAATTATATTTAATGTTTTGTTTTAGGTCTTGAGCATAACAATGAACTAATTTTACAATTCCATCTTTAGTAAGTTCACGAAGGAAATGGAATCCGACGTCTATATGCTTCGACCATATAATAAGAGATTCTTTGAAAGCTCAATAGTTGAATTATTATCACCAAAAAATGGTTGTGCTATCACTTCGCATATGATTCAAATAGCCCAAAATTCTCCTTAACCAGGCGGCTTGACAGGCACACGAGGCTGCTGTAATAAATTCAGCTTTTGTGGTAGACAAAGTGACTATAGGTTGTTTCTTTGATGATCAAGAACCAGCTACAAAATTCTGTAGAAATACAAGCTGGAAGTACTCTTTCTATCGTCTAAACCTCTCGCATAATCATTATCTGTGTAAACGATTAGCTCCGCATTTCCTCCTTTCTTGTAAAATATGTCAAACCCAAGTGTTCCTTTTATGCATCTTAAAACTCTCTTGGCAGCTTGAAAATGTAACTCAGTAGGATGCTCCATATACCTGCTCAAAAGACTTACAGCATACATCATATTAGGACGGGAAGTAGTTAGATACATCAAATTGTTGATCAATTGCTTGTAACGTCTACCGTCCACCCTCACTCCGTTTTCATCTTTAGTAAGTTTGCATCCTAGAACAATTGGATTATAAACTGAATTGCATTTATTCATATTGAACCTTTCCAACATCTCCTAGGCATATCTCTTTTGAAAAATAAAGACTTAATTGTTTTCCAAGGAAATACTTCATTTTTCCAAGGTCTATCATGTCAAACTCATGCATCATAAATTTTTGAAATTCAAGAAACATTTGTCCATCATCATTAGTAAAAATCAAATCATCAACATAAAGACAAGCAATCAAGCTTTTACCTCATTTTCCGGTTTTGATGAACAAAGTATGCTCGTGAAGACGTAGCTGAAAACCTTCTTTTACAAATTATGACTCTATATGACTATACCAAGCTCGTGGTGCTTGTTTTAGTACATATAAACCTTTTTCAACCGGTAAACTTTTTGTTCGGCACACTTTGTTTCATACCAAGGTGATTGCTCAGTATAAACTTCTTTATTAAGTTCCCCATGAAGAAAGACAGATTTAACATCAAACTGGAATATTTTTCATCCCTTTTGAGCAGCTAAAGAGATATCAATCAAATTGTTTCAAGTCGAGTTACAGGAGTAAAAACTTCAGTGTAGTCAATGACATGCTTCTGCGCATAACCCTTTGCAGCCAAGTGCGCTTTATACTTCTTAATTTCATCATTTTCATTAGCTTTGTTTTACACACCCACTTTATACTTGCTATGATACTAAGTGTTAACAATATCAAAAGACGTTTCAGAAAGAAAAGAAAAAGTCTGCCATATTAAGAAAATAAATATGGTTATATATAAATAGAACCTTACAAGAAGAAACAAAAAATAATCCTGGAAACCCTAATCAAGAGAACAACTTTAACTTAACCACAAACAAATTATTCCTATTAAATAGGGATTATTAAAACAAGATAGCGAATCAAAACAAATCTTGACTAATTCAACTACTTTAACATTAAAAAATAACAGAACAACGGAATTGATATTTTATTTTATTTTTCAATGATGATGTGATATTATCTTATGTTGACACTTCAATATTATTGTTAAGTTTTTAATGACGGATACTAAGATAAAATCTAAATTGGACATTAAATATGATTCTGAAAAACATAGAATTTGAGTATCAAAACAAAAAATTTAGGTACTAAACTATAATTTACCTTTTATATTATGACCTACTCCCAATGTAAATTTTTAAAATTTAGTCCTTTATTTTTATTTCATTAAGAGAATCTCTCGGGTTCCTCTCGATTTTTAATATTGAATAAAATGATACCTACAAAAAGGGAACAATATAATCATGTCAAATTCGGAAGTGAATGGTTAAAGCTAACTAATCACAACATAAATATATTCCGTCAAATTTTACATATTTTTTTAATTAAGTACTAATATAAGAAAAGTAGACAGATATAGGTATTAAAATGTGAGTTACTCCATTTCTTTAAAAAAAATAAACTATGCCAATAGTCCCCTTTGTTTTTGGTCTGTTTGACTTTGGTCACTGGTTTTTTAATTAAGTGTGTTTGGTCCCTAAAGTTATCTATCTATCTAATTCAAGTCTCTCACCGTTAACTTCCATTACCCCATTAACCGAAGTCTGAGCTGATAATTAAAAAAAACCGCGTGACTATTCGCCTCTGCAACGGAGGTTTCTTTGATGGTGGGTGTCTTCCATGGCTGAAACTCACGAGGAGAAGTGTATGATTTTGTCTGAAGGGAAATTAAAATGGTCGCGGGTGGCAGTAATTAACGAACTATTCTCTATATTAAGCAGACGAGTAATTGATAGCAAAATGTATTCATTCATAACAGTGAGGGCTTTACGCTTATTTATACATCTTGTTTACTAACTAACCAAAACAACTTTGTAACAACTTCATAACAAACTACTACCGTTCACACACACACTCTCAACAACCTCACACCATTCACACCAGCTCAGCTCAGCATTATATGTTAATATTCTCCCGTCTTTCTTCTTTTTTTTTTACTCAACATTGTTGAACATGAACTTTGTCACTAAAAACTTGAAATGACGCCTTAGCTAAAGGCTTGGTAAATCCATCAGCAAGTTGAAAACCAGTAGGAACATAACTCACCCTCAGTTTACCAGCTGCAACCTTCTCTCGGACAAAATGAATGTCAAGGTCAACATGCTTTGACTTCGCATGATACACTGGATTGGCAGTCATTGCTACCGCACTTGTATTATCACACCAAATAATAGGATTATCGAGTGAATACAACCCTAAATCACTTAACAAAGCATCAACCCAAGTTACTTCTGCAGCAGCTTCTGCAATGCTTCGATACTCAGCTTCCATCGTTGAGCGGGACACCGATTTTTGCTTCTTAGACGCCCAAGTAACCAAGCTGTTGCCAAGAAACGCTCCATAGCCAGTCATCGAACGCCTATCTCCAGTATCATCTGCCCAATCAGCATCAGAAAAGGCTCTTACACATAACTTAGTATCATCAGCCGAGAAGACTAAGCCATAATCCAGTGTACCAGCTAGGTAACGTAAGATGCGCTTAACAACAACGAGATGTTCTTCACAAGGTGATTGCATGAAGTGCGCCATCTTATTAACCGCAAAGACAATGTCAGGCCTAGTATAACAGACATATAACAAAGCACCAACAACACTTCAATATTCACGTGCATTAGCTAATAATGCATTTCTTTTCCCTAAATTTTTCATAGTCATTACCATAGGTGTACAAGTCGAGGACACTTGAAGCATATATGTTTTTTCCAACAGCTCAAGTATGTATTTTTTCTAACTAAGAGCTAGGCCAGCACTAGTCCTCTTAACCTCAATACCGAAGAAGAACGAAAGGGATCCAAGGTATTTTAAAGAGAACTTCTTGTTCAACATAAGAATAACAACATCAACTTCCGCAATAGAACTTCATGTGATTATTATATCATCAAAGTACACTAAAATATACATGCATGAATCATTCACAATTCGCATAAATAGAGATGTATCAGCCCTTGACACCACAAAACCGAGCTCAAGTAAACTATTCTTGAGTTTATCATTCCAATTTTGTGAAGCCTGGTGAAGTCCATACAAAGCTTTATGCAGCTTGCATATTAAGGGAGCTCCATTGGAGCCAAGTTGTTCAAAATCGGGGGGTTGTTGCATATAAACATCTTCAGCCAGATCACCATTCAAGAATGCATTATTGACATCTATTTATCTTAGCAACCATCCTCGAGCCACCGCTACTGCAAGAACCACATAGACAGTGAAAAACTTAACAACTAGACTAAACTTGGCCACAAAATCATGGCCATGAACTTGCAAAAAACCCTTAGCTAGTAGGCGAGCTTTATATCGATGTATAGAACCATTCGGGTTCCGTCTGAGCTTGAATAGCCATTTGCAGCCCACAACACTTTTATCACGAGGCAGCTCAACCAAACTCCAAGTTCGATTCTGAATTAAAACAAAATACTCCGCATGAACTGCAGCTTCCCACTTAGTTGACATTAACGCATCATGAATATTAGAGGGAACATTATCATCAAGAACAATGGTGAATACCTTGGGCATGTAGACACCGCATTTGCTACGAGTTAGCATGGGATGATGATTGATTGTAGAATCTTGAACAGAACTAGGAGGTGCAACTGCCTCGTCCTGAACTAAATCATCAACATTAGCTCCACTTGGACACATAGACTCATTTGAGTCCTCAAGAGTATTCGAGGAAGCAGTAGAACCAGTGACAGAGCTCTCATGCTCATGCACATGAGCATGTTGATTTCCCGATACCCCAGCATCTTCAATAAGTAATCGATGTACATTTACAACAACACCAAGAGGTTGACTAATTTGACCAAAAGAGCAGCAAGAGCTGTGACTGGACTCTGCTACAAATGGAAACTGACATTCATCAAATTTCACATGCCTAGACACATACACTCGCCCATTCTTCCCGAGACACAAGAACCCTTTGTGTTGATGACTCACACTAAGAAACGTACATGGTTGTGATTGAAACTCTAATTTATGACGGTTAAACAGTCTAAGTGTAACATCCTCAATACCAGGTTAGTGACCAAATTGTAAAGTTTCAGAAATTGGTGATTAAAGTAGGATAAATGAATAGTTCAATGATTTATTGGAAATATGATGAAGGTTATTTAGTCATTATAGAATGAATTAAAGGGTAAAATGGTCAATTGACAAGTAAGATTTTTATTATTCCCTTTATAAGATAAGGGAACCACGTGGAAGAGGAGATAATTCTCTAGAGTTTTCTTTCTTCTTCTTCCTTCTCTCGTATATCCAAGCTCAAAGATATCGAGCACGAACAAGTTCTGGAATGATCATCAAGTTAAGATTCGATCGAAAGAAAGAAAAATCATAAAAGTGGATTGAAACTTAGTGAGGCTCAGGTGAGTGCATATTAATTCGTTTATGGTGCTAAATGGAAACAAGACTTGTGACAAGTCTATTTCCTATGATGAATGCATGAATATATGATTATATGTATATGCATGACATAAATTGTATGTATGCATGATTATATGTGTTAGCATGCTTTTGAATGTAATGATATGAGAAGTATGTGCTATGTGATGTATATATATGAGCCATATGACAGGATATATGTTAGCATGAGAAAGAAAAGTATAAGATATAAGCTATGTAATCTTATGAGAATATGAAAAGAAGCTATGTGACTACATGTATATGTGAAAGAAGCTATGAGCTTATATGACGTGATATGAAAGTGTACATGTGAATATGTGACATGATAAATTGCTAATGCCCATGTTATGTGTAAAGAGAGCTAGAGGTATAATTGACATGCCAAGAGTCGAGGGTTTTACTTGGTCCTTCGGGACATATATATATTCTTTGGAACATTTATAGGGTCTTATGAGACACATATGTGATCCATTGAAATATGTATATAGTTCTTAATGAGTGGTCATTCGGGACAAATACAGTACATAGGTCCTTCGGGACAAAATTCATAGCCCCTAGTGGGACTCCATACGAGCTGTGGTGACAGTATAGTGCACAACCTCAATAGACACACATATCTACAGTTCTCACAGATGTACATGGGCTAATAAAGAGATAAGCATAAACATATATATTACATGTAAAGTATATGTTTTTGTGATCTGAATTGTATTATATAATTGACATGATGATGTGTATATTTGTATATTTGATTACATGAAATGCTATATTGTTTTGGGTGATAGCATAGTATGATATGTTCAAGCATGGTTAAGAAGTTAGAGTTTCTCTTATAAGTTTAATGCCTCACTAAGTCATAGACTTAGCGTGTGAGTGTTTCACACGTAAGTTCTGGAAAGCAAAGTGAGAAGCTAAGAGGAGCAAGACATGCCAACATTTTCCTTACAAAGTTTCAGATCAGAAAATAGATGAATTAAATGTGTTTGGTTAATCTGAACATAGTTGGCATGTACTAATTGATTGAGTTGAATATTCTCTGATTTATTTTGGTTATTTTGGTCAATTTATGTAAATAAACAGTTTTTATTTTAATGAAAGTTTTAAATTTTCTTTGAATTTTTTCAAGAGTCAAAGTTTGAAAAGTCAATGTGACACCCCAGACTCGTATTCGGGTCGGATACGGGTTGAGGGTGTTACATTAAGTGGAAAGCACCTACAACCAAAGACCTTTAACAGACTATAGTCAGGTTGCTTATGAAATAACGACTCATATGGAGACAAACCTTACAGCACCTTTGTGGGCAATCTGTTGATGAGATGAACAGTCATCATAGCTGTATAGGTCCAAAATTTAATAGTTTGATCGATTATACAAATTCATGTTGCTCGATTTGGAACCATCACTCAATTTAGCAACATGAGCACTTATTGGAAACTGATCATCTCGAGCATCAAAACCAATAATTTGATTTTCAGTATCAATCAATAAGGAGTACACCTTATCAAGCGACAGTGAGTCTTTCATCGTAGTAATGAACGCAACATAAGGCTGATAATCCCTGGAGAGACCTTTTAAGATGCTGTCAACCTGCTCAGTTGTGGAAATCGCACTGTCACACGAAGCCAGCACATCGCACACCTCCTTAATCCGAGTGAGATATGTCCTCATGCTATCATCTCCTTTCTTAAGCGACTGAAGCTTGTAATGAAGACTGATGACTGTTGTTGTAGAGCGATGCGCAAAGAACTGCAATACTTTGTTCCAAACAGCCACTGCTGTCTCCGCGCCAACAAATTGAGAGAGCATGTGAGAGCTGATGGTTGACGATAGCCACGATGTCAGTGCACTATCTTGTGCTACAAAGTCATCGTATAACTCGTTCGGCACAGATTCACCATTTGCATTAACTATAAACGCAGGCGGAGGTTGCAATGTGCCAGTTAACAACCGCTTGAGTCGATGGCTACGAACGGTTAGCAGAACTTGCTGATTCTAGAGTAAGAAGTTCGACTCATCAAGAATTACATTCACCTTTTTGTGAGTAAACATCTTATCAGCCACATCGTCCATGTCCACCAGCAAACGAAATAGTGAAGTACCTCAGGAACAGACAACGAATGATACCATAATGAACTATTCTCTATATTAAGCAGACGAGTAATTGATAACAAAATGTATTCATCTTATTCATTCATAATAGTGAGGGCTTTACGCTTATTTATACAACTTGTTTACTAACTAACCAAAACAACTTTGTAACAACTTCATAACAAACTACTACCGTTCACACACACACACTCAACAACCTCACACCATTCACACCAGCTCAGCTGTTATTAACTTCACTCACACTCAACCCTTATATGCTAATAGTAATGTACGGAGGGATAGTGAGGATTTGTTTTCAATGGTTGCAGTATCTGTTTTGTATGAGGATTAAGTCATAACCACATCACTTAGCAAGAATAAAACACCAGTACCCGGCGGACCCGTTCATCCCTTATCGTTATCAGAGATAACGTTATTTCCTTGTATTTTATGTTTAAATTACGACAGCAATATGTTTCTTGGGTTGTGCATTCTCACCAGTTGGATTATTGCTAGATTGCAGGGTAATTGTTTTGTTGCCTTTCATTGAGCATGCATTTGTCAGCAATTGATGTGTTTTCGACACAAAGTTGAAGGATGATCATATGTGCTGGTGGATTTTGTTATTGTGGTTCTACTGTTTGGCATTTTAGTGAGAGCCCCCTTTTTGGTCTGGTTTTTGTGTCATAGTTTATGAGTTTAATTTGGCATGCATCTGTCTAAAGTTGCAAGACCCTGTTGTGTCGTAGTGAAAAGAGTTGTGTGAAAATTGTCTTTAATTTTATTCATTTTGAAATACTTCAATGTTGAAATGTTGCAGACCCAAATTGTCACCATAGGATGATACCTCTAGTGCCTTTGGATCTCTTTTTTTTCGATCTTCTCTTCTTCTTCTTATTCTTCTTTTTTTCCTTCTATTATTCTGTTCTAGTTTTCTAAACATGAACAATTTATATTTCTAGTGAATAGCTCCAACTCTTGGAGGAGAAAGACGAAGAAGAAGAAGAAAAACACGTAGGTGTTAAATGAGTGAGTGTTTTTGAATTCTTTTATATTTCAAGTACCAACTTAAACTAATGGTTGATATACTTAAGAGATCAAATGTATTTAATTAAAAAAATTAGTGACTAAAGTCCGTCGGACTAAAAATAAAGGTGATTACTGACCTAATTTAACTAAATATATAGGGATTCTCGAAGATAAGAATTAGGGTTTCCAGGCTGGAAAGGAAAACAATATCCTAAAGCTCAGCTGGGTGAGCTCTCTCTTCCATTCTATGGCCGCCATCATCCGCTTTTCGAACTCTCTCTCACAAGATGAGATGCTTATATTCTTCGTCTCGTCAGCTTCCGCCGAATCCAATTCATTCGTGGCCTCCTCCTTCGGAAGCTACAAGACCACGCGCCAAGATCCCAGCGAAAGGAACATGCAGTGAATGTTTATTGGATCTCCAGGTGTCGGCAAAGGAACCCAAGCCAGCCGCCTCTCGAATCTCCTCTGCGTCCCTCACATTGCTACCGGAGATCTCTTCCCGGAAGAGCTCGCCTACTCTGGACCCCTCTGCAAACAAGTTAGTTTCTTTTTCCCTCCTTATTAACTTTATAGTAATGATTAATAATCATTTTCCCTTTACCTGTTATATGAATTTATGAAATTAATAGTAATTTTTTAAAAATAGTTTTCTCTTTATCTGTTTTCTGATGCAAAGTTGTTAATTTTTTGCTTGGATGCAGCTAACGGAATCTGTGAACCAAGGAAAATTGGTTTCGGATGAAATTATAACAAGTTTATCGTCAAAAAGACTTGAAGCTGGAGAAACTAAAGGTGATTCAGGATTTATTCTTGATGGTTTTACTTGAACTATAAACCAAGCGGTTAGAATTTAACTTTGCTATGTCTTCCCATTTTCAATTTGTTTGCTCAAATATTGTCTAGGAAATATTGGAAGGAGAAATAGACATTGATTTGCTTGTAAATCTGAGGCTTCTGGAGAGTGTCTTGATTGAGAAATGTCTTGGTAGAAGAATTTGCTGTCAGTGTGGGAAAAATCTGACGCAAACCTCAAGTTGTATGTCAAAGCTCATTACCAGCTCAGATGATACAGAAGAAGTGGTGAAAGCATAATTCCATATATACATCAAAAAGGTATCGATTCATTTGGACTAGGTATTGTGTCAACTTTAACAGAATGTGGAATAAATTTGTTGGAGCATAACGTAAGAATGTTATTCCTGTTCTCCTAGAATCCCGTAAATTTGTGTGTTTTTTTTCCTTATTAACATTCCTTAACATGAGTAAAGTTGCATATTCTTTTCTGGTAATTTTTTTATCAACTCTTTAGTTATGTTGTGAAGGGTTTGAAATTAACATTAGTTTTGGGATTGAGTGGAAATAATGAAAATATGCATTTCAGGTTCCCTTTACTGCTAATTTGATTTCCTCTTTCCATTTTGATCATGCTTTGCTATTCATATGTGGTCACAGAGTCAGGCTTTGGAGGACAACTAACGTGATAGAGGAAAATTGATGGATTCGATTTGACAGGAGGTATCCCTGAATCGTGGCCAAAGCTGCTGGAGGCTCTTAACCTTGATGATTTCGAGGAAAGGCAGTCTCTTGCAGCATAAGGTATTACATACTACTTTAGTTTTATACGAGTCTAATATTCTTTGCTTGCTGGAGTGGCATGCTCATCAATTTTGTGTTCACAAGAGAGAACTAGTCTCCTTTTGCTAATAAATTTGTTTAATCTTAATTATACTTACAGTTTTCCCTAGTTTAGGCCACTCTAGTATTGCTTGCTAAGAGATTTTGGTATATCTTAATTTGACAGAGATACGAAGAAAGGTTTCTTGTGTAATAGAATATCTATCCAGTAACAACTTTGAGGAATAATATGCTTACTTCAATATTTGCAAAATCATTGCGAGTCACTGTTGGTATGCTACGTAGCATATTATTTTGGCTGCAAGTTATAGTAGTGATCGAAATGCGACTTCGATTTATAAATCCTGATCTCATGATCTCTTATTATTAGCAAGCTGAATCTACTATTTAGCCAGGCAATAATGAAACCATGGGAACCCTGTTTGCCTCCCTTTAGATTTGTAGTGAGTTAATAGGTTGCTGTATTTTGAATTATAATTTTGACATCCTTGCAGCTGGCCGAGCTGGCTGGCTCAAGTATAGCCAGGCAGTAAGTTATGACAGCTGCAATAATGAAACCGTGGGAACCATAACCAGCTCTTGACTGCCATAGTTTCAGCATTCCAAGATAGAGCGTCCCATATATATATAAAAAAAGTTTACCCAAATAACATTTGAAAGAACCCTGGTGGTAGCAAGTAACTTTGTAATATGCTATAAATAGTGTCAGTTTCGTGGTAAAGGTATTTGGAGCTTGAATTTTTATAAAATGCAGATATAAACTGAATCACTTCACAGAATAAACTGAATCTATTCAACATCCAAACAAATTGAGTTCTGTGGTGAGGGGTTTAATAGAATAGTTAATTCAAAAAAGAAAAAGGTTCTCTTAAACTGAATCTCTTTGCAGAATAAACTGAAGAACCAGTTAAATCAAATTATTGTGATTCAACTGCCATGTGTGTGCAAAAAATTCCCGTTGGGAGATTTACCTACCAAAGTCAGGTGTGCGATCGGGGCTGGTCTGGATTTGTCAAGGCAAAGCTATGGGAATCGAAAGGGCAACCAAAAAAAATGTTTCTTTTCAAGGTTTGGTTGATTGTGTATATATTCAATTAAAAATTGAAAAATAATTAACAAAGTAAAAGGATTCCAAATGTAAAAGGTTTAGAAATGAATCTCAAACGTGATATAAAGTCTAATAAAATATGTGATATAACAAAATGAGCAGAGAAGGTTGGTTTAACCAAATGTTTCTTAGGCAACATAATTCGGAGGGTATTTCATAATTCGGAGGTCTCTTATGGAAGTTACTCACAATCTGGTGTTGGGAGTAGTCTACTATCTTACCTCTCCTTACCCCATATATATGGGAAAAAAGGACAATCATTTTCCTTAGACAACATATCAAAATAGGATACCATGGAATGCAAGGCGTAAGTCAAGAAGCAAGAAGGTAGGCTTATTAGAGGAACCAAGAGAAAGAGGTATTTGGCATTAAGAATAACGTCCCAAAGAGAGCTTTGGCTGTGCAAAGGTCGCCGACAAAGCTTGATAAGTTGAGCTCGATTTAGCGCTTTCGTGGGCGGATACTTAAAACCACCACGTAATTTTGATTTCCCGGTTGATTTTCTTTCATTGCCACCCAATAGGGAAATCCTATTGAGAGTCAGAACCCTAAATTTACGAAATGAGGAGCGTCCGGTAGCGCCACACGAATAAATTGGAACGCCAGAAGGGACGCGGCGCGAAAGACCCTAAGAGCCCTAATCCTATAAAGGCTTAATGCGAAAACAAGTGTTGAAATTATATCCTAACTTAACTCTAAATCTCTAACATTTTTTATGTTATACTTTTATGTATTTAGATTGTAACAACTGTTAAATTCGGTTACTATCCAACATGTGTTGTATTTATATATATTTAAAAAAATCATGCTTCCTCTTTCTCATAAAATATGTTCATTAGTGATTTTTTTGGTCAATTTTTTAAAACTTTGACTAGTTATTATTTAAAATTTATTATTGATAAAAATATGTAAAAATATTTTTTAAAAAACTTCAATCAAGTAGTTTTCAAATATATTTTATAAAAGCTAATTATTTAAAATATTTAAAATAATCATGATCAAAGTTTTAAAAAATGACTTTTAAAAAATCAATAAAGGACATTTTTATGGAACATAGGGAGTATATTAAAAAAAGTTAAAATGGTAATTTTTTAGGAAAAATTTCTCCCTCCCGGCTGCATAACCACATTGTCTGCACAAAAAATTTCCCCCTCCCCAGTTGCATCTAGAACCCCTTTCATCGTCCTTGTAAATCTTGAAAGTTAATTTAGGGTGAGAATGTTAAATTTGATACTAGTATTAAAGATTTAGATATTAGGTTTAGAGATTTAAGTTTGAATGTGTGGATTTAGGGGATTTATGACGATAACAAGAGGAATGATTGATAATGGAGGTTTAATAACGGGTGAGATGACAAAGACAATCGATGATAGCCAACTACAGTTGGTAATGAGTTGAAATGAGAGTTTTTAGGGTTGTTGGTGTTTTTGTAATTTTAGGGAAAAAATTATTTACTAGTATTATTATTTTTTAAAAAATAAATAAATAAATATGGTACGTGTCATTTAAAGTTTTTTAATGGTCTTTATTGCGTAAGTACCTAAAAGAGTAATGCTGAAAACGTTGGACACATATTTTTAAAAAAAATTATTTATGCACCTAAAGTTAACTTAAAGTATAGTTTGAAAACTTATTTTTGCATTAAGCCAAAATATAAATATAACACATGTCACTTAACAACTTTTTAATGGCCTTTTACTGTGTATACACCTAAAAGTGTAACAAAAAAAATATAGACAGTTAAAAGTATAATGTCAAAAATATTAGGCGTCTATTTTTAACAAAAAAATTCATTAGCTACCTAAATTTACTTAGGTATAATATGAGCACTTATTTTTGCATTAAGTCTTTCTATAAAATAGGAAGGATCACAATTAGTAATGGGTATGAGACTCGAACTCTATGCGTTTTGTCTCGGCTTGACCTTATTAGATTGATTTTTTAAAAAAATTAGGTTCGGATCAAGTTTGAGTTTAGGATAAAAAATATCGACTCAAAAAATAATGTAATTATATCTTATATTTAGAGGAAATTGAAATAATACTCATTTCCGTATTATTTTTTAGATCTTTACTTATCGAATAAAATTAAAATTTATTTATAAATATATTTATGTTGAGTTATATCAAATTCGAATTCTTTCTAAAAAAAATACCGAGTTGAGTTTTGAGTCAAATAAAATTATTTTAAATTTAAAATGAAAGACATATATATTTTAAATTAAATCGGATCGACCAAAAGACCCAATTCCATCCCTAATCAGAATCGTGCTATGTGCGCGAAATAAAGTGTTGTTGGTAGTCTTCTTCATCAAAAGCTTTACCAGACGTGTCTATTCCTGGTTGGTTCCAGGGAACTGGCAGCTTCATCGAAGCTGAATTTACTAATTTAAATGATGTCACTCTAACTCTGTGTATTGTCCAATGTTGCTGTACTTCGATTCAGGAAGATAAAAAATGGCGTCACTTTCTTTTAAAAAACAGTATTTTTTCACTTTCACTATTATTTTAATTTTTTCCAGATAATTTGTATGCCTAATGTTTTTGAGTTATTATTTTAAACGTTAATGTAATAACGTCTGTCAAAAAATTTTGTTATCTAACACATATTACCTTTATATTTTTTTCTCTCTACTCGTCATTAGGGTTATACCGTCGTTTGCCAATTTTTTGCTTCTGATCGTTTTTTCTCTTTCCCGTTGTCTACCATGTCCGCTCTAGAAGACGAGTTGGCAGGATTGGAATTGACTGATGAGGAGGAAGAGGTATTGCCGCTTGGGAATCCAAACGCAACATCATTGGTTTCTTTTGAGAATTGTTTAGTAGGACGGTTCATTGATTCAGGTAATATTAATTTTCTCGCTATGAAAAAGATGATGGCTAACGTTTGGCATCCTATAGGGGGTATCACCATTACGAAATTGGAAGGGGATGCCATTTATTCTAGTTCTATCATGAGGTGAAGGTTGATCGGATTTGGAGGGAGGACCCGTGGTATTTTAATTACCACTCACTGATTCTTTATCGTCTGTCAAAAGATGAAGATCTGAAGAGGGTGCCCCTTGAGTGGGTGGAATTTTGGGTTTTGGTCAACAATCTCCCTGCGGGTTATATTTCGGAGCCGGCCGGTGGCGAAACAACTGGGGAATTTTGTAGGGAGTTTCATTGAGTTTGATGCCTTTGCTATTGCGATGGGTTATCGAGGATGTCTTCGTATCAGGGTCAATGTGGATACTAGGAAACCCCTCAAGCGTATGAAGAAAATCGCTCTTCTGAATGAGAACATGACTTATGCAAAGTTTTAGTACGAAAACTTAGGGTTTTTTGCTTCCTCTGTGGAAAGTTGGGTCATGGGGAAGGGTGTTGTTCATTGCATGTTCTTCTTTCGAAATAGGAATTAATACCCCAATGGGATCTGACTCTCCGTGCACCACCAAGGCGTCGTTCTTTGCCGCCTAGCCCTTGGCTCCAAGAAGAGGGTTTATCTACTGAATCTCAGGTGAAGACAGGTGTTTCGTTGACTTGGCAACCACATCAACAGGTTTTATCAGATGTAACCTTGTGATTTATAATATGACGAAGGAAAATATTTCGATCAAAACAATTTCATCATAATCGACAGGCCTGAAGAATCAGGCCAGCCGAACACAATGAGGCTGCTCAGTTGTAACGTCCGAGGTTTGGGAAATCCTTAGACTGTTCGACGTCTTTGGCACACGGTGAAAGACTTAAACCCTACAATAGTTTTTCTCATGGAAACAAAGCTACAGAAATCTAGGATGGGGACGATTCGTTGGTCTTGCGGCTTTGTGAATGAAATTGAGGTGGATGCGTTTGGTACTAGGGGTGGACTATGTCTTGCTTGGCATTCCTCGTGTGAAGTTACTTTGAGGTCTTACTTGAACTCTCATATCGATATTATCATTTTTTATAGTTTGTATAATTCTACTTGGCATTGTACTAGGTTCTATGGTGCTCTGGAGGAAGCCCATCATTTCGAATCATGAAATCTTTTGAGATAGTTGAATGACACCCTAGATACTCATTGGTTGGTTATTGGGGATTTTAATGAGATACTTTACTTATTTGA